TTTTTAAAAAAGGCCTCTGTCACCAGGGAGGTGCCAACTCAAAGTGGTGAGCCACTCACTGAGTTCTGGGCACAGTCAACCTAAGTAGAGGATGGAGAAGACAAGCATGCTTTGTCCCCTTTCTTAGGAGCTCTGAGGAGGAAACAGACTGGTCACGTCTCATGTCACATTACAGGTTTGTGTTCATGAGCATAGTCCTCAAATGATCTCTCAAAGGATTTTGTTCATTATTATTTATCACCAATTGGTTAGAAAAACAGCCTTTGGGCATACTTTGTGGGTGAAACAGTTATAGGGCTGGTTAACTAAAATGCCATAAATATATAGCTCTTAATCATCAATTTTAATCAAGCCATTAATCACTATATAGAAACTGGACATGTAATTAAGGGCACAGGATTTTTGGAGAGATGGCGGCAGAGATACTCCAAAGACACACCTGAACATTCTTCCTTCGATGGAACTGTGGGCTTGCTGATGCTGAATTTGCTTGTAAATTCCCCTTCAAAGAAAGCTCACAGATTACAAATGCAATGTTTTCAGAGTGGTTACTGAAAAAAAACAGCAGTTCAAATTCAAAATCAAAAAATGACCAGATTTACTGGTCTGATATAGACTAGTAGAGCCACCGAGACAGTGGTTCTTTGACATCCTTTGTGACTAGAACTGAACTCACCCCTGGAGATCAACTTTGAGCCAAACAACAGACAGACCTATATAGGGACCAATAGCGTTCATGAGGAAGGTACATACTCCACAGAACAATCAGCCATAGTAGACCAAAAGGGCACCAGCTGCCCATAATTACAACTCAGAAGGCAGGAAGGGGCACGTCACAAGGAGATGTGGAATAGAGGACCCAGCGGGCAAGTGGGAAGAGTACTATTACATTGAGGAAATTGCATCCAATGTCACAAAACAAAGTGTGTATAAAGTGTTGAATAAAAACTAATTTGCTCTATAAAATTTCATACTACAATTTTAAAAAAAAGTCTGCAGTCCATATAATATGGACTACTGTTTCTAATATATGGCCATACTGTACTCTGGAAGGCCGGTCTATGCCCCCCATCAAGACCAGGGAACTAGGAAGTAGGAAGGGCAGGAGGAGACTTTGAAGTTGATTCAGTTCATGAGGATGTCCACTCCACGACCAATATTTGCTTCTTGATAAAAAATTTAACAGAAATTCATGTCTGTTATGAACTCTTTTAACCAATATCTATCACCCCAAGAAATCCAAAGCAAACAACCAACCAACGGCCGTCAAGCCTATTCCAACTAATAGCGACCCTCTGTAGGGTTTCCAAGACTAAATCTTCATGGGATCAGACAGCTTCATCTTTCTGCCAAGAAGCAGTTCAAGGGTTTGAGCTACTCTTATGGTTAGCAGCCCAGGGCTTATCCCACAGAGCTACAACAGCTCCTGAAAACAAATCACTGTTTACACCAGTTCTCAGTATAAGCTCCCTGGATCAGCAACAGCCGCATCACCTGAAATCAGGTCCCTCCTAGTTAATTGGAAACCCTGGGGTGAGGTCCAGCAATCTGTGCTTTAACCAGGTCACTCTGATGAACACAGAATTGTAAGACCCATTGATTTAAACCAAACAAGAAGGTGTACTTATTCTAAATTACTTCAATGACTCTCAGTTTGCATCATTTATTAATCTGAAACTGATCAGCTATCTTGACTTTATCAGATATACCTTTCTATCACCCACCTGTCAGTTTGTCGTACTGTGTAGCTTGTGAATTGCTGTGATTCTGGAAGCTATGCCACTGGTACTTTAAATACCAGCAGGGTCACCCATGGTGGACAGGTTTGAAATGAGCTTCCAGACTAAGACAAACTAGGAAGAAAGAGTGATGAACTACTTCCAAATCTTTAGTCACTGAAAACCTTATGAATAGCAGAGAAACACTGTCAGATATAGTGCTGAACATTGAGCCCCTCAGGTTGAAAAGCACTCAAAATGTGACTGAGAAAGAGCTGCCTCCTTAAAGTAGAGTTGACCATGATGACGTTAATGGAGTAAAGTCTGTGGGAGAAAAGTCCACAAGACCTTCATTGGCTTATGGGGCACAACTCAAAATGAAGACAAAGAGTTGTAAACATCCACTGAAAATCAGAACATTATTAAGTATGAATCTGGGAAAATTGGAAGTTGTCAAAAATGAAATGGAACACATAAACATAGATATCTTAGGCATTGTTGTTGTTGTTACTAAGTGCCGTCGAGTCAGTTCTGACCCATAGGGACCCTGAACAGGGTTTCCGAGGCTGTAAATCTATACGAGAGCAGAAAGCCTCATCTTTCTCCCGCAGAGCAGCTGGTCGTTTCGAACTGCTGACCTTGTGGTTTGCAGCCTGATTCGTAAGCACTATGCTACCAGAGCTCCTATCTTAGGCATTAGTGAGCTGAAATGGACTGGTATTGGCCATTTTGAATCTGAAGACCACATGGTTTACTATGCCAGAAATGGCAAATTGAAAAGGAATGATGTTGCATTCATTGTCAAAAAGAACACATCCAGATCAGTCATGAGGTACAATGCTGTCTGTGATAGGATAATATCCATGTGCCTACAGGAAAGCTCAGTTAATATCACTATTATTCAAATTTATGCACCAACGAGTAACCCAGTGAGGATGAAATAGAAGAATTCTACCAACTTCTTCAATCTGAAATCGATCAAACATGCAATCCAGATGTATTGATCATTACTAGTGATTGGAATGCAAAGGTTGGGAGCAAAGAGGAAGGATCAGTAGTTGGAAAATATGACCTTAGTGATAGAAATGATGCTGGAGAACTCATGATAGAATTATATAAAACCAATGATTTGTTCATTTCAAATACCTTCTTTGGATAGCATAAGAGACGACTATACACATGGACCTCACCAGATGGAATACATAGAAATCAAATTGACTACATCTGAGGAAAGAGACGATGGAAAAGCTAGATATCATTAGTCAAAACAAGGCCAGGGAGAGACTGTTGAACAGACCATCAATTACTCATATGCAAATTCAAACTGAAGCTGAAAAAAATGAAAACAAGTCCATGATAGCCAAAATATGACCTTGAATATATCCCACCTGAATTTAGAGATTGTCTGAGGAACAGATTTGATACATTAAATACGAAAGACTGAAGACCAGGAGAATTGTGGGATGACATCAAGAACATCATACATGAAGAAAGCAAAAGGTCAATAAGAAGACAAGAAACAAGGAAAAAGTCAAAATGGATGTCAGAAGAGACACTGAAACTTGCTCTCCAGCATACAGATGCTAAAGCAAATGGAAGAAATGAGGTGGTACAGGAGCTGAACAGAAAATTTCAAAGAGCAGCTTGAGAAAATAAAGCCAAATATTACAACAAAATGTGCAAAGATCTGGAGTCAGAAAACCAAGGAGGAAGAACATGCTCAGCATTTCTCAAGCTGGAGGAACTAAAGAAAAAATTAAAACCTCAACTTTCGTTATTGAAGGATTCTCTGGGCAAATTATTGAATGATGCAGAAAGCATCAAGAAAAGATGGAAGAAATACACAGAGTCACTGTATCAAAAGGGAGTGGATAATGTTCAACAGTTTCAAGAAGTAGCATATGATCAAGAGCCAATGATACTGAAGAAGGAAGTCCAAGGTGCATTGAAGGAATTGGAAAAGAATAAGGCACCAGGAATTGATGGAATAAAAATTGAAATCTTCAAGAAAGTGATATAGCACAAGAGGTACTCACTCATCTCTGCCAAGAAATTTGGAAGACAACTATCTGACCGACTGATTGGAAGAGGTCCATATTTGTGCCCATTCCAAAAAGAGGTGACCCAATGGAATGCAGAAATTTGGACAATCTCTTTGATATCCCATGCAAGTAAGTTTTACTAAAGGTAATACAGAAACGGCTGCAAGCATACACTGACAGAGAACTTCCAGAGGTTCAAGCCAGAATCAGAAGAGGCCGTGAAATGAGGGATATCATTGCTGATGTCTGATGGATCTTGTCTGTAAGCAGAGAATATCAGAAAGATGTTTACCTGTGCTTTATTGACTATGCAAAGGCTTTTGTTTGTGTTGATCATGACAAGCTGTGGACAACATTGTGAAGTATGAGTATTCCGGAACTCTTAGTTGTGCTCATGAGGAACCTGGACCTGGACCAAGAGGCAGTTGTTCGAACAGAACATGGGAACACTGAATGGTTTAAAATTAAGAAAGATGTGTGACAGAGTTGTATTCTTTCACCATACTCATTCAACCTGTATGCTGAGCAAATAATCTGAGAAACTGGGTTATATGAAGACTATATA